GCCCATTAGTTATTTTTTTAAAGAAAAATTCTTTTTGTGAAATATTTCAGAATCGGAAGTCTGGGTCAAATCCTATGTCAGATCTCAGGGTCAGATTTTGGAACGGTCATCGGGATCGTGTCCTAGGTCGGGTGTCAGATTAGGGTCCTAGCTAGGTCGATTATCGAGGTTGATTTTCGGGTCAAAAATTATTTTCCTAAAGAGTATTTTCTAGTCTCAAGCCTAAAATAAAAGATATTTTCTGGAAAATATTTTTCATTCACCAACCAAACATTTTTTTTAAAAATCCAGAAAAAAAATTCCGCACCAACCAAACATTTTTTTTAAAAATCCAGAAAAAAATTTCCGCTCACCAACCAGACATGAGAAAATAAGTTAGAAATTCACTTCTTTACCAAGAAAACATTTTCCTTCGTACCAAACACACCCTTAAGAAATGCGAATTGTACTGGACTAATCATAATTCTTTGTACTTGATGTATCATTTTAATTATCTATCTTCTAATTAATTAAGCAAACATCCAATGAAATCCTTTTATTATTTTGACTTTCCAGAATAATAGGGGTGTAATCTTGAAATGGGTACCTCTAACGGGGTTAATTGTAACTTGTAAGGATAAAAAGTAGTAAGTTTATCGAGTCCCTTTATTATTATTTTTTGAGGTAAATCCATCTAGGATATGTCATAATTTTTACTTTCTCAAATAATGTGTTTTTTATAATAAAATTTATCGTGTTCTTATATTGTACAATTTACTTCTTGTTCAAAATTTGGAAAACACTAGGTAATTATTAAAATAACATGTATTAGCACAAAGGGGTAGTGAGTAGTGACCTCATAAAAGGAATTTGTGGAGATATTGAATTGATCAATTAGTAGATGACTTTATTACTTAAATGGCTCTTTGATCAATTCAAATTATTCTTTACAATTAAACAAATGCTAATTGTGCTGGACTAATTCTTTTGTACTTGATGTGTCCTTTTAATTATCCATCTTATAATTAATTAAGCAAACATCCAACGTAATACTTGAAGAAATCAAATGGAATTAAGTTGACAATATGAGTTTCCAACACTATAAATACCACCATTTCAATTGTTTGTTTCGTCACCAAGAAATCAACAAAAAATAAGAGCTATGGCAAAGTACACTACTTTTCTCGCCCTCCTCTTTTTGCCTCTTCCTTGTTGCTGCAACTGGGTGAGTCGACATGATTCTATAGCTACCAAATATAATGATTTGTTTAAAATTACAAAATTTTAAAATGTTCATTTTTTATTAAACGTTGTGACTAGTCAAACATGTCCAGTAAAATAAAACGGGGGCATTTATTAGGAAATTCTGAAAAAATTGCTATCTCAAGTACATACCATGAGTTTTCAATTTTCTCATTCTTTGCAGAAATACAAATGGCAGAAGGGAAATACTGTTGGAAAAAGAGTGACAAGTGGAATGGACCTTGTCAATACTCTTACAAATGTAGTTATCATTGCAAACACTACTATGGAGCTAAATACGGTATTTGTAAGAAGTACAAACCATGGGGTCACAAATATTACTGGGCAAAATATGCTTGCTACTGCTACTCACCTTGCCATTACTAAGAAACTTTCAACATCTCATCTATGTAAACAAATAATTATGATGCTGCCTATTTTATGTATGTGACAATGTAATAAGGCTGATTTATGTGTGTAACCATTCTGGCCAAGCTTTGCGTGATGAGAAATTGTATTGTATGCTTTTGTATGAGTATTAATTGATGAAGTTTTCAATATAAATATTTGTTGTGTAAAGTACCATGCAGCGCTAAGAAAAAATTAATAACAACATGACTCGACATTCATCTTGTGTAACACACGTACAGAGAAGACAAAACATTAGGATGATAGCAACAACAATAACATAAATAATTGGGGTTTGGGAAGGATAGAGTGTATGTAGACCTTACCATTACCTCATACCTCATGGAGGTAGAGATGTTGTTTCTGAAAGACCCTTTGAAATTCCAAAAGGGCACATCACTTTTTATTTTAGCCAAAAGGGCAAAATCGCTGCGTCAGCAGCGATTTTCCTCTGACAAAATGACAAAATCGCTGCCCTAGCAGCGATTTCGTCTAAAAAATTTTTTTTTTTTTTTTAATAAAAAATCGCTGCCACAGCAGCGATTTTGTAAAAAAAATATTATTTTTTATTAAAAATCGCTGCTGTGGCAGCGATTTTTAATAAAAAAAATAAAAAAAAATTTTAGACGAAATCGCTGCTAGGGCAGCGATTTTGTCATTTTGTCAGAGGAAAATCGCTGCTGACGCAGCGATTTTGCCCTTTTGGCTAAAATAAAAAGTGATGTGCCCTTTTGGAATTTTTGACCATTTTTTTTGCCCTTTAGGCTCCGGACTCCAATAATATAAATAATTGGGGTTTGGAAAGGATAGAGTGTATGTAGACCTTACCACTACCTCATACCTCATGGAGGTAGAGATGTTGTTTCTGAAAGACCCTTTGCTCAAATGAAGCAAATTGTGAACTACAAAGAAGAAGAAAACAATGCAGAAATCATAGCTATTATACAGTGCAAAGCCTACAAGAATGGAACAAGAGAAATAAAATAGTGTGATAATCGAAACATTGTGATCAACAGATGGTGATAGATACCCAAAGCAAGAATTATAATAACTTGGCTAGTACAACGACAAACACCAAAAATCCTAATCCCTCGAAGATCACGATAACAACTCCAAACCTACTAACATTATTTTACCCTAATACGCAACCTCTGCACCGTCCTATATCTAATATCATGTCTCTGGAGTTGCGTCGTGTCCTGTCTAATCACCTCTCTCGAATAATTTTTTTTCCTACCTCTACCTCTCATCGTAGCCGCTATATCGAGCCTCTCGCACCTTCTCACTAGGGTATCTGGATATCTCCTCTTCACATGCCCAAATTATCCTAGTCTTGCTTCCCTCATCTTCTCCACTACAGAGGCCACTCCCACCTTGTACATATATTTGCATTCCTAATCTTATCACTTCTAGTGTGCCCACATATCCATATCAACATCCTCATTATATTTCCACAACTTGCATCTTCCGCACATGGAAGTTTTTGACTGGCCAACACTCAGCCTCGTACAACAATATTATGGTCTAACCATTACTTTATAGAATTTACTTTTAAGTTTAGGTGGTACCTTCTTATCATACAAGTCTCCGGAGGCAAGCCTCCACTTCATCTACGCCACACAAAAATGTGAGTGACATCATTGACAATGTCCCTCTTCCTTATATTACCGATCCAAGATACTTGAATTTGGTCTAGGCTTTATAAATACCCCTCAATTCATAAATTTCATTCTATTTCATTTTTAGCAGACTATTTAAAGAGAAAACATCTTAAGTCTTCTCTCGAGCAACTAAGGTGGGTTCCTACTCCAATCTTTTGACTATAACATTGATTATATTGTAAACAAGAATCTGAAATATTCCTATTTTTGAAAACCTTCTTTGAAGTATGCCTAGTTTTCATAATTCAATTTGAAGTATGACTATTTATCCAATTAAGTATTCTTTTGAAGTGTGAAATTTTGGAGAAAACTTTCAATCTACCAAGGATTTTAACAAGACTTTATGTGAGTGAAAGTTATATTATGCACTACGTATATATATGTACATGATTTTCCTTACAAGTAGGATTATTTAAACTTGATTTTAAAGTGAAAATTTTGAGTATAATTTTGCTCTATGACCAAACAATTAGCATGAGACATGATTTAATACTTTAAACATAATTTGTAAACATGTGAAACGATGGATTCCTTTTTTTTTTTTAAAAGAATTAAAAAAATGGGGATAGAGAAAATGGGAAGGGGATTACAATATGGAGAATTAAACCCTCACCAACAAGATGGGAGTTCAAGCATCCAACCAACTAAGCTACTAAGATTTTCCTGTAAAATGATTGATATATATATACATCTATCTATGATATGTGGCTAATAATCCATCCCATTTGTGTTTGAATCTGTATAAGTAAATTGTGTTATTTTAGAGGATAAATAGTCATTATAGCTTCAAGTGAATCATTTTCGATCAATTGTATCAATTTAGATGACGATTGATTGTTGAGGTTGTGTAACACTTCGGAAATTTCTAAGGTAAGACTCGAATCATGTTGTAACACCTCATAACTCTACTCTCACAATTTGAATCGTTCATCGTAAGTATATGAACTTCTTGCTCATGTGTTTAAGGCCCTTTAATAAGTATATCAAGGGTATATATTGAAAGTTCTTTGTCTTCATCACTTTTTTTCTGTGATTATTTTCACTTTTTCAAATTTGTATCTTTTAGCATCCTATAAAAAATACTATAATTATATAATCTAGGTGGCAGTAACGAATTTGCAAATGAATTGTTCCATGAAAGTTGAAACTCATAAATGGTGGTGCAACAAAAGCATGTAAAAACAATGATTGTCTTACAATGAAATGTACTTGAGCTGATTATCATGGAAATCACCTCTATAATTTTTCATCGATTCATGATTTAAAAGTTTCCATTTATGCATAATTAACAAGCAAATCACGAGCTGAATTTGCCGCAAGTATGAATCACCTTGAGCGAATAATATATTAAAAGAATAAAAAATCGAAAGAAATTACTGGCATCTAAATTCTAAAACTGTTTAGAGGAAATTCGAGTTGGTTGGGATTGGAGAAGAAAATGATCTGCAATGTATACTTTATTGTATATTAACAATGTATATAAATGTATTTACATTTTTTATATATAATTATACAAGAGTACACTATCTATACATTATATATACATATCGATATACTCCCTCTGTTTCACAAAGAATGACCTGGTTTGACTTGGCATGGAGTTTAAGTAAATAAGGAAGACTTTTGAATCTTGTGGTCCTAAATTAAAGTTATGTCAAATGTACAAAATTGCCCTTAATCTTGTGGTCTTAAACATGCCACGTGGAAAGCAAAAAGTAAAATGTTACCAAAAAGGAAAGAGGTCATTCTTTTTTAAACTGACTAAAAAGGAAAGGAGGTCATTCTTTGTGAAACGGAGGGAGTATTACCTATATACATATATATGACAATTTTGTTGAAGATAATTTTTGTTGTTTGCTAATTTGGGCCTTTTTTTATGTAAATGGAAACTTGACTATCGTTTGGATTGGCTTATTGTTTTGGCTTATAAAACAAAAGTCATAAAGTTAGGATTTCTAACTTATGACATTTTGCTTATTTTTGCTATTTTGATTCAAAAACAAGTGCATAAAAGCACTTTTTAATAAGACTTCAAAAGTACTTAAAAACACATAAAAATAATATAATTCGAACACTAGTATGTAATAAAACCACTAGTATTATTCATATAGCACCATAGATCAGATAAAACACCAATACAAAGAAACATATATAATGAAAAAGCTAACATAAAAGCTCTACCAAAATAGTCATGCTAGAGCCTTAACATGTCTTGTTACATTGTCACACATACACAAACAACCAACAAAATCACATCAACTTCTTATTTATGTATATATATTATTTTTAGTCCTTAAGACTTTGATGTTCCTTGTGATTAATGGCAAGGAGAGTAGCAATAGCAAGCATAATTAGACCAATCATTATTGTGTCCCCCTTTGTATTTCTTACAAATTCCATGATATTTATGTCCAAACCAGTGCTTGCAGTGCTTGTTACATTTGAAAGTATATTGGCAAGGCCCATGCCACTTGTCACTTTTTTTTTCCACAATCATGGCCTTCTGCCATCTGCATTTCTGCATGAAAAAGGAAATTGGAAACCAAGAATATATAATTAAGGATCATGAATAGGTATTTGAATATCGCTACCACAAATATGATATTTTGCTATAAAACTATTAGATACGATACTGGATTCGTCATTAATTATTCATTTTTATGAGTGTTTCATTTGATCCCCCAATCTCCCAATATCAATATTTCGGCTGCTCAAGTCGTTACAGGTACAGAAATGGCTATAACAAAGCAGCTTATTCCTACGATGAATTTACTGGTTAAATTAGATGGCGAAGGCTTTTGTAACTTTAGACTCATAACACTATTTGACCAAACACATTGGCTCTACGTCCATCGAAAGTCAGTAAGTCGATAACCTTCGTGACCTTCAGCATTTGATGCTTTCTCGATAGCTTCAAAATCTGAATTCATCTACGTCTTCGAGACTAAGAAGCATGATTAAAAAGTTGTAGACTTACCAGTAGCAGCGACAAGGAGAAGACACAAGAGTAGGGAAATGAAGACTGTATTTTTTGCCATGTCTTGCTAGCTTACAATTTTTCTTTTGTATTAATTGTTTCTTGGTGAGGGAACTTAGACTAGAAATTATGATATTTATAGCATGGTGTAAGCTTAACATTGTCAACTAAATTCTTTTTTTTGACTAGTTCAAGAATATTACATCATTTTAATAAGTACACATGAACAAGTAAAAAGAATATTTCTAGGTTCAACCTTCAATTTGCTATTAAAAAATTATGGAATGGACAATGAGAATGTTGACTAGAAGCAAAACCCAATATTGAATATGGTGTATGGTGTATTATAGTAATGTTGTTATTAGTTATGCTAAAATTATTTCTTATACCATCAATGTTTAGTTTGATGTATTAAAAATAACATGCATTGTAAAATTTCTGAGAAAATATTGCTTACAAAAATACCTTTTACAAATATGGTGAAAAGGATATGAAAAAGGTTTTGATGAACAATTGTATCTTTATTATAACATCATGCATTGCTATTACTGCGTATTTTCATATATTAGTTATACATAATATAATAATAAATATAGTGTATAGCTAATACATAGGTAGAAAAAGTGTATCAAACAAGATATTAGTAATATGCAAAGCTAATGTATGCATTATTTTTTCCTACCGCACTACCAAACGACCCCTTACAGTGTGTATGGTATGGAGAAAAATCATTTCCAATTATCCCATGTTTGGTTGGTTAATATATATTGAAAAAGAATTTCTATAGAAAAAATAAATTTCATAAGTAACATTTCATGAAAAATATTTTCCTTCGTATCAAACACACCTAACATATTGACATTCAATAGAAATATCGTTCAAATTGACCTGATAATTATCTGAAAAAATATTTTATCTTGATACATGCTTAATTAAATTTACTTTTTTTCATAAATGATGTAATATTATACTTGAGGAAGATAGTATTATTTTCTACAATTTGTATTTTACTATTTTGGTTTTCTCATTTCAACTTGTACTTGGTGACCATATCAATTCTAAAACTAGAAGCAACTATTGTTGAGCTTGATTAATTCAAATCAACAATCATCAAGAATGGTTCTTAATTATATTATGTCTTTGTAGTACGTTTGTTCCAAATCATTTTAGGTAATTAAGCTTCTAATGTGAACAACTAAATAATTAGGATTTAGTCACATAAATTGTCATTGCAAAAAATATTTACATACTATAACATATTAATGTAGGTTTATCATTATCACGCAACTATATAATCAATAACACTTATTGTTTTAGCATAAATAGACACACTTACAACCTTATCCATCAGTAATGTCATCTCAGATTTCACTACAGACGCACGAAGAAAATTTCATCTGCTATGAAATTAAATATAAAATTCAAAAAGTGATTAGCTTTTTCAAGGATTCATCTTTTGTGTTCGAGTGGTCAGCAATCACAATAATTAATAAATTTGGCATCATGAACTTGTCCAAATCATGAACATATCCATAGGTTAAAGGTTCATGTATGTTTTTGTTACCAAAAAGTTGTCACTATACTATTTTAGAACATTCTTCTTCTTATTATCCTCCTCTTCATTCCTAGCTTAGCGATGTTGTTCTTGTTCTTGTTCTTCTTCTTCTTCTTCTCCTCATCCTCCCCTTTTTTCTTTTTTCTCTTCTTCATGTTCCTCTTCTTCGTCTTCGTCTTCGTCTTCGTCTTCGTCTTCTTCTTCGTCTTCGTCCTCTTCATTTTCCTCCTCTTCCTCTTATTCCTCTTCTTTCTCTTCTTCTTCTTCTTCCTCTTCCTCGTCGTCCTCCTCCTCCTCCTCCTTTTCCTCGTCTTCCTCCTCCTCTTCTTATTCCTTCTCTTACTCCTCTTCTTCTTCCTCTTCCTCTTCCTCTTTCTCTTCCTCCCTCTTCCTCTTCTAGTTTCTCCTCCTTTTCGTCTTCATCCTCTTCTTCTTTCTTTTTTGGGTTTTTTTGGTTCATGCAATTTGTAAATTGAATTGATCAAGAATTTGTTGAGATATAAATGACCATCTCTCAGAATATGAGGAGTTAGGTGATTCATGTCTTACCAAATAGAAAAGTTATTACATCAATAGGTTGTCTAATTCTAATGAACGTAGGAAACCTAACTCCTATTCCAAATTAATAACTATATAGGTTAACGTAATCCTTATAAAGCTATGAAACATAAATCCTATTCTAAAATAATTAAAAAAGCTACCAAAATATAACTAACTAATAAATAAATCTACTTTAAAATATAATTAAATAATTAATTGATTGACTTACCCGCATCCACAACATTACTCCCCTCACATTGAAAGAGCTTGTCCTTAAGCTCAAATTTCAGGGCAATCATCCAGAAAATCTCGAATAGTATCAGCTTAATTATCCATTCCAGCCCTTGCTTGAAGTTGACATTGATAAATTTCAACTCTACTTGTTTACCGGAGCATGACTAATTCACCCCTCAAGTTGCTACTTTCAGGAGGTCCAAATCGTTGAAATTATTCTCAACTCATTGAGCCCTTTGCCTGTTTAAGTTGATAATACCATAATGGTGCTTCTCCGAACATGTGAAATCATGTCACTCCAAATTTTTTTGCTTCGGTTGTATGTTGATTTTCACAAACTTGTTCACAATGATGTGCCCAAATTATTGGGTTGTTGGTGTTAGGGTTTTTTCTTGATTTTTTTACTTATTTGAGTTTTGTTTTTCTTTTGAAGGAAAATCAAAGTATTACCATAAATGTTTTAACTTTTCCTGAAAGTAAAGTATAATTTTCTTGCATATTCCTTCCTTGGAGGAAAACTATGGAACTCTCTAAATTGAAGGCCTTTATTCTCATATCAACAACACAATAGAATTCACAATGTAGTAGTTTAAGAGTTTTGTTTATGGGGAGATTTTCTCCCAACATGTTTATGTTTATTCATATTAGTTTTATCATATGTATGTTATTTGACAAAACTATATTAATAATATGTTTTTAGTATATTTATATTTGTCATCTGTTTTATCGCATCTATGATTTGCAACGGTAAGCTTCTGCATGATGTCTTAATTACTTTTGAACCCAACACTTGGTGCCGTTATAAGTATCCATCTTTGCATACCTTGGTACTATTGAATGTGAATTACCACTTGTTGAATGATTTTCGTCGGCCAGTGGAATGTATTGCCTTTAGTAGCAGGAGTTGTTGATCTACTAGTAATTGTCTGGCGCTATTTGACTCAGGTTTGTGGGTTGCTTGTTTTTTAGATCCAATTTCCAATCTAGACAATTCATGTTTTCGGATTACTTGGACAATTCTTTCACTGAGCCATTGTTCCATTGCTATAATTTCAGAGTCCATTAGGATTTCTGTGATGGAACGTTCTTTTTGAAATGAAACTGATCTCCTCACCCTTTGTGTTAGGCTCTAATATCAAATTGTTACGGATTTTTAGGGAATGATCAATTCACATAGCGATAAATAAGTTCAGCTCGTTAAAGGGAGACTAAAACCTTAGAGTTCAAAGGTAGGGAGAACTCTCATCTCTTGCTTTTTGCTAAAATATGACTTAATTGATTTATTCCTCAAGAACCCCTTTAAATAGAAGTCTTATTACATCAAAAGGAAGTCTAATTATGATGAAAATAGGAAACCTAAATCTTATTCCAAACTAATAACTATATTTAGCCTAATCATTATAAAACTATGAAATATAAATCCTACTCTAGAATAATAAACAAAGCTACTAAAATATAATTAACTAAAAAATAAATCTACTTAAAAATATAACTATAGGTTAACCTAATCATTATTGTCTTGTAACCTATAACTGCATGACTTCGTGAAGTTTTTTAGGCAAATCCATCTGGGATATGTCATGATTTTTACTCTCTCAAACTAAGTGTTTTTCATAGTAAAATTTATCGTGTTTGACATTTGAAAAATTCGATTCTTAAATACATTAGGTAATCGTTAAAATAACATGTATCAACACAAAGAGGTGGTGAACTCATAAAAGGAATCTGTGGAGATAAAAAATTGATCAATTAGTAGAAGGCTTTATTACTCAAATGACTCTTTGATCAATTCAAGTTCTTTTCAATTAAAGAAATGTTAATTGTGTTGGACATTCTTTGTACTTGATGTACTGTCATTTTAATTAATTAATCAAACATCCAACGTAATCCTTGAACAAATCAAATGGAATTAAGTTGACAACTTGAGTTTTCAACATTATAAAAACCACCATTTCAATTGCTTGTTTTGTTAAAATCAACAGAAAATAAAAGCTATGGCAAAGTACACTACTTTTCTCGCCCTCCTCTTTTGCCTCTTTCTTGTTGTTGCAACTGGTGAGTCGACATGATTCTATAGCTATCAAATATAATGATTTGTTTAAGATTACCAGCTTTTAAAATATTTATTTTTTATTAAACTTTGTGACTAGTCAATCATGTCAAATAAAATGAAACGGAGGCATTGTTATTATTAGGAAATTATTAGAAATTTGCTATGTCAAGTACATACCATGAGTTTTTAATTTTCTTATTTTTGCAGAAATACAAATGGCAGAAGGCAAATACTGTTGGAAAAAAGTGACAAGTGGAATGGACCTTGCCAATACTCTTACAAATGTAGTCATCATTGCAAGTACTACTATGGAGCTAAATATGGTATTTGTAAGAAGTACAAACCATGGGGTCACAAATATTACTGGGCAAAATATGCTTGCTACTGCTACTCACCTTGTCACTACTAAGAATCGTTTAGGGTCTCATGGCTTGGTTTTGATTATGTAAAAAATAATTAAGAAGCTACCTATTTTATGTGTGTAACAATGTAATAAGGCTGATTTATGTGTGCAACTATTTTGGCCAAGCTTTGCGTGATGAGTTATTGTATTGTATGCCTTTCTATTAATATTAATTGATGTGAATTATGCTACTTTTTTATATAAATATTCATATATTGTGTCACATACCATGCATGGTTAAGATAAAATTAATAATAACATGACTCGACATACTTGTGTATTTATCATGCCCCAAGCCTAGACTCTATGC